TTAAAAGGGTGAAACGGGCCACTCTTTGGCCACTTTTCGTTTAGAAAAAAAGAGAAGAAGTAGACAGAAACCAAGGACGACCATGAGGGGTAGAAAGAGAGAGAGGTCTCGTGGAATGGAAATTCGACGTGGAAAGGGAGAGAGAAGGAGGAGGTGGAAGGTAACGCGCGTCAGGCGCCATTACCTGGAAAAATCTTGACCTTTTTCGAAGGGCCGCCAGCATTTTCGGCGGGCCGTAAAACTTAACGGCGCGCTTTTGAAATTGCCCCGGCCTTTTTTCGCCATAACGAGACACGGTGCTTGGTTCTTCGCACCCCATTCTCTACGGTCTCCCGTGCGAGAGACATTTAAGACCGTAACTCCATTGTTATGGCGGGGAGTAAAAGGGAAAACCGGCCAAGGAGAGTGAGAGAGAGAGAGAGGGCAGCATCGACAGCCGCCCCGAAGCATAATCGCGAGACCGGGCTCGAATAAACGTTGAATTCCATGAAAGGGTGACCATGGGGCGAGAATCACTTTATTCCACGGCCCTGTGGAAGAATCTTATCGCGGTGAACCGTGAATCGGGGAGAATGGTACGCGTCTCGCGAACGATTATACATTATTTTAGATTACGTACCGTGAAATGTAACGCCTTGAACGAGGTGAACCCGTTCCACGACTTCCGTTACCGAGGAAAATACAAGCGCGACGAATCCTTTGTTTTCTATACTACGTATACATCGCGAATACATTGTGCATAAATGAAACTGTACTAGCTGAACTATTCAACTCCGCGAGGGTAGTTCGATATTTAAATTACGGTAGAACGTCGTTGACCGTGGCGCGCCGTCAAGGAAAATTGGTTTGCATTGCGCCGTCCCGTTAAAAAATGACTGGCGTTCCCAGCGCTGGGAATACTCCACGGACTCGGCCAATCGCGTTCGGTACTTATGAGATACGTGACCCCCGCAATTCCGAATAGCGACGGAACGTGGCAGAAGAGGTTGCTCCGCGCCCATGAAAGTTAATATTCCGTGGAAAGGACTTACGTAAGGACGTCGACAGAAGAGAAGAGGGTATCGAGGAAGGGAGAGAAAGAGGTAGAACGACTAGGGGAGAAGTGGTGAAGGGTGCGGAGAAAAGAAAGAAAAAGGGTGGGATGAGGAAGAAGAAGAAGAAGAAGAAGAGAGAAAAAAAAAAGAAGGAAAGGTGGTAAAGAGCCCCTTCACCCCTTAGACTTCACCTAGACTCGGCCGAGGAATCGATAGGGTGACTCATCGAGGGGCGGTGACGGAGTTCTCTCCCTCCCTTACGCCCTGTCCTCCTTGTTCAGCCTTCCCACGCCCTTCTCGTTCTCTTTCCACCACCTTGCTTCCGGTTCTAACGCCGAAAGCGTGTCCAAACTTTCAAACTCTCTCGTGTACCCGGGTCTCCCATCCGCTTCTCCTTCCCGGAGTCTGCTCTTGCTTCTTCTTCTTTTCTCTCTGTTGGGCGAAATAACGAAATGCACCGGCAGACGGAGGCCTCGCGTCGCTGGTATTCGCTAGTTCGCGGAATTCGCTGACTCCGACGGTAGTGGGTTGAAAAAGTTGGAAAAAAGGGAGAACTGCTCGTTTCCGTTCGTCGTTTTCTCGCTCGCTTGGTGTCGTTTCTTCCGCAGTGCGGTCTCGTAACCAAGTTCGGATCGTTCGGGAGCATGAATCGGTGCCACGAATTTGGCCACCGTACGAACGATCTCCTCTTCGTTTTCTTTCTGTTTCGTTCTTTTTACTCCGCTGAAAGTGGCACGAACGACGCCGACACAGACTCCGCCATAAGTGTAAAGTTCTCTCTCTCTCTCGATCTTCCGCGTCGGTTTCTTCTCCTTCGTTCGCCGCCCGTTCATCTGACAGGGAAACTTTTCTCCGCGCGAAATAACGAGATCTATTCAGGGAGGGGGAGAAAGAGGCTGCAGCAGCTGCAACATGCGACTGCAATAGTACACTCCTGCCTGGTCATACCTATAACGAGCATGCGGCAAGACGACCGCGCGTCGCCAGCCAATTTGTCGCACACGGACGATCCACCCTCCTGCTGAGTCATCTGGCGTCCCTTCTGAATTAACCAAATCTTTCCAGCGTTTCTCGATCGGCTCTTCCTACCGACTTGCGCCGAATCAACTTCGATAATTCCCACTTCTTCGACGTCTAAATAATTAAGCTCGCGTAGATTCGAAGCAGATTGCAGGAGTGAAATATCCACGAAGGGAGGAGAGAGGGAAAAAGAACCCCGGTTAATGGAATCTAAACGAGGATTCCGCTATCGCGAACGATTCCACGAATCTGCTCTTTTTACGAAACTTCCCGGTCCAGTCTTTCCTTGCCAGCGACAGCGCCGTAAAACTTACGGCTTCAACTTCCCAACCGTTCCTTTTACGCTGAAACTTGGATACTCGCCGTTCCTTCGAGCTTCTTTCCAATGAAAATAACGAGATGCACCAGGGGGAAGGCAACGGACTTTGGTTACTCCGAGCGTCGAAGTCTAACGAGCACGCGGCCAATTTGTCGCCCCTGACCGAGCCGTCCTCTCGCTGATTCATCGCGACTTCCCCTCTCGAATCCTCGAACGTTCGTCGAATTCAACGATAATAGCGAAGCTTGAACACGTGGAAGAATTAACGAGTCCTCGTTATTCCTCGCTCTCTCTCTCTCTCTCTCTGTTTTTTTTTCTTATTCTCGCCTTCTTCCCGTGAACGATCTCTCGTTTCCGCGCGTCCCTTTGAACGTCGATCGCGAATACTTCCCAACGTGACGATCCACGAAATCCTCGAGCGAGAAGATTTACGGCTGTTCAAGTGCGACAGGCGAAAAGAGACAGAGCTGATTACCCCCTTTGTTCGCAACGCGAACGGAGTGGATGGTCGGCGAGGATCGCGACAAACGTCGAATTAGCCGAAAGAGATAACATCAAAGGGAACAAACTTTCGTTCGGCCGATTCGATAGGTTAATTACCACTCTCCCTCGCTCACTTTTCCATCTACAGTCTCGTTGTTTCCTGCAAAAAAAAGGAGTGCCTCGAAATGGCTGATCTTCGATTGACGATCAATCTGTGCGTACACAATCCGTTTCACGATCCTTCGTAAAAGTTCGTCGAAGGTGTAATTCTCGTGAAAAATCGTAAAACAATATTTGCAATTTAATCCGGGAAGAAGCAACACGTCGATAGAAGCGTACGACAAGCTTGTACACACGTCGATATTAGGGGGGGTGAGAGAGCGAGTTTTTGGCGTGCGACTGCTGTCGAATCGCGCGTCCCTTTGACCGAAAGAAGCTCTCGTGCTCTCTTTGAGAGCACAGGGCTTAAAGCTCGCGGTTGAATCAATACCGGGAACAGGAGTGAGATAGGTAGACGGCGGAGGAGATAGGAGTGTCAAGGATAGAAGAAAGGAAGGAGGAAGGAAGGAAGGGACACAAAGGAGGCCAAGGAGATTCGTCTTAGGCACCCATACATACACCTAACTTTACATATATATAGACATACGTGTTTCTTTGGGGGGGTTTGTTACCTATGTAGGAGGAGGAGCGTGTATTTACACCGTCTGTATTATACATATATTACGTATACCGGTAGCTTGTCGATAAGTAACACGGAGATTTTCTCGGCGACAATTTCACGATTATCGACCGGAGATCTAATTTTTCTTAAACAATATGACGGGCGTCGCGTCGGCATGGATGCGTTCTGTCGGTTTCTGTACAACGTTCTTCTAGCGACTGTCGTCTTGCTAAGGAGCATCAGTGAGTAGTAGAGAATCACTATAAGTGGTTCGAATTTTCAATTAATAATCATCGTGATCATCGTTGTTAAAAAATCTTATCTATCTATTGTCACGCGCTTGAATTCTCCTCATTTTTTCTACGCTTTTCAACTTTCAACCCACATCCACCCCCCAAATTCCAAACACCCCACTCGAACGATCGACCGGTCAATGTTTTTAATCCTCTTACTATCTATAGAGTAAGAGAGAGAGAGAGAGAGAGAATCCGCCCCCACGAGGATTCTCGAGCGTGTTTCAGGCTCGCGAGGTCGTCTCTCTACGATTGATCCGGTACGCCCTTCGTCTCGGTTCGTATTTATCGCCCGAACAGCTTTTTATTTCCGTTTTCGTTCGTTTATTTTCGTCGTTGTTCCTAACACCACGAACTTTTCGTTATGGTACTCGATCGAGAGCACGCTTCTCGGCGAGAGACAAACGGGGCCGATCTGTCACATTTCAATAATACGTGAAATTCTTTTTTACATAGAGACACGTTTCTCTGAGTCCTTTTTCTTTCTCTCCCTGTCTAACATGTTTCTATCGCTGCCCGTAAATACGAACGAAACAACGTCTACTCTCACACACGCTTCTCTTCGACGCCGTTGAATTTTACACCTATCGTAGGCTGTTACGAAAGTGAACCTTGACCTCCGCTTCCAGTAATCTACCAATAGAGTCACTGTGTATCCGACGACTCGCTGCACGCGCGAGTATAACGCATGTTTCACAGAAATAAGCTCACGATGTTCATTTCGAGGGCGTAGTATTGCTTCCACACTTAATTCGATAATTAATTACCTAACCTTTCGGTTTGATTACCATATCCGCTTGTATCTTAGAACGACTAACAGAAACTGCCTTGACGATACGATTTAACCCTTTCGCGACTAGCGCCGGTTATATCCGGCATCCACTGAGCGCGTCGCCTTAACCGCTCAAAGTGAAGATTTATTTTGAAATACAGAACAAGGCCTCAACGACATTCCCTTTGTCCAATACACCCTTAAGTCCTCTGCTGTTCCAACGAAATCCTATAAGATTTAAAAAAAAAACGCGAGACACTCTTGATGTGTACGGTGTGCACTAATGGCGCGACGACTCGTTCGTTAGTGGCGTACTGCCGTCGCGAAAGGGTTAAGAGAAGAAAAATGAATAGAGAAATCACGGTAGATTGTCGCAAATGTTGAAATTGAATTTTGCCGATTGCTCGGCTTTTTCCAGAAAACGGTCTGCTCTCCTTCGAGAATCCCAACTATCACTTAGACCCAGCTCGTCTGGACGATGCTCTGAACAGCAACGAGAACGGCAGCTCCCTGTACGATGAATTGTACCAAGAATTGGTCGGGAACGGTGGCAGGAGCGGCGAAGTGACTGGCGGCGGAGGGGGCGGTGGCACGAGGGTGCAAGCACGCAGAACATACGCCACGTTGGATCTGGGCAGCATGGGGGTCGACGTCACTCAAGGTCCCCTCACCCAGGACTCCGTGACAGAGGACGCGCCGGACAACACCGACAACCATAACCTAGGGTGAGTAACCGTGGTCATTTTGCGAGCGTTAAACGCGCCGCGTTGTCTGCCGCGGGTAGAAAGGAGAACAGAGTACGTGACCGGAGTTCGAAGCGTAGAATAAGGAGGAAAATATCGGTGCGTGAATGTACGCTCCTATTCCTGTCCACGAGTATTGCGACACTTGCCGAGTGTGAATCAAACATGAACAGCCCTTGCGAAGTTGTTGAAATTTTGAAAGAATTATTTCATCTGGAATCATTTTGGAGATTGTGAAAATCATTGGCAATTTATTTTGAGGAACAGTGTTCGTTAAAATGTTCTCAAAGTTGCTAACTTTTTTGTGGAAATTTCTGTGTAATTTTTAACACTTTCGCGACGGGAAACGTGTCCTGCGTCATTTTTTGTTCTTTTTCTTTCCGAGTACTTTACCGCACTCAGCTGCAGACTCTTCGAAATTACGTGCTGTATTCAGTTAAACCTTTTGTCCGGCAGAAGAACGTTTGAATCTTCGAAACGAGAAGTGTAATTTAAATCGTGTAACACTTTCGTATCGTAATACTTGTGAACAGTGGTATAAACAGAACGGGAAAGGTGTGAAATTACGCTACGATGGTCTATTTCGAGAAATAGCGATACGAGAAATAACGTTAATACGAGGACCTGATATACGACGATTTCCAGTCCGCCATTTTCCCAAGGATATCTTTATGCCTTTGCTTTTAAACATGAGCCAAGCTCGCGATGGCTCTCTGAATTTCCTTTATCCGCGATATTCCCCGTTTCTCGAGTGGGGGCTCTCGAATAAGCGAGAAATCGGCTCGGAGCTGACTGAAATCGGCGAAAATCGACTGGCTGCGAGAGGTTCCTCGTGGTCGTTCTCCACTCCCGTGTAATATAAGGTCCAAACCGGGCAGAGCCGTTGATAAAAGTTCCGAGTCGGACCTCATCGGACCACCGCATAAAATTTCAATAAATCCGGACCCGTGAAAGGGACTACGGACAGAAGGAACGAATGGCCGATGCTACAAGCCAGTTCCAACTTATTCCCCGACTGTTACACGAGCTCCTCGTTCCTCTCCCTCTCCCCCTCCCCCCGGCTTCTTCTTCTTCCTGTTTGTTCGATCGTTCGAAATTCTACTCTCGCAGTTTCCGACACTCTCATCGAGCCTCTTTTGTCTTTCACCGGCTGTTATCGAGCTCTGGTAAACGCCCCGGAGAGCGGAGAGTCGAAGGGAAACCGTGGAGAACGGAGGGACATGATTTCTAATGGAATCGTTCGATCGCCCGAATTAAGACTCCTTTTTCTTCTTTTGTTTCTTTTCTTCTATTAGTTCGTCAAATGATTGGAAGTTATTCGGAAAGTGGAGCGACAGTTACAAGGGATATCTATGTTAGAGAGATTGTTCAACGAGGTGGAATCGTTCGCGTTAAGTTCCACTGTCTCCTACGGTAGCTTTTGTCAGAGGTGTTCGGAGTTGGCGAAGTCTCGTCGCCCCCGGGCGCGTTAATCCTGCGAACGAGATCTCTAGTTGGATTCGATCGAGTCTAGTTTTCTTCCGTGTTCAAATTAAATTGGACACTTTGCTCAACTTCTGTAATCGCTTTACTAGGTAAAAAATATTCCATTGGACTATTCAAATACACATCCAAAATGTGACATCTTTCTCCAGACGTGTTTACATTTTCTCCACCGCTGAAACATTCACTCCCATTCGCCCATAAATAATCGAAGCTGTGATTCGTGTCGAAACAAATAGCCTTTTCACCGTTCCTCTTCCTTCTCCCACAATCAACGTCCACCAGATCCGTTCGTTCCCGATGGATAATTGTCCGAGACGGGCGGAAGTTTAACGAGACGGAAGAAAATCGTGGCCCAGCTGTATGCACGTCGATCCACCCGCCGGTTTCGACCGCGTTCAATCGAGAGACGTACGTTAATGGACGGCCCTGGTACCGTGAACTTCTTCCAGCAGGATAATAAACTGCTCTCTTCTCACCGTCCCATTTCGTCCTTTCTCTCTCTCTCTCTCTCACTCCCTTCGCAGCGCACGTTTCACCCTTCCCGTCTTTTTTCCACCGGTCGGAAATCCGGGCGAGCATAAAAATGCAATTAAGGAAACGCCTGGCGTCTGGCAGAGGCTGCATACTTCTCCATGCTCGTGAAAGGTGGCTTCTTCTTGCCCGTTCCGACGACTTCCTTCTGTTCTCTACCCTTCATTACCTGCCTTTCCCTTCCCTTCCCCCCCCGGTCACCCTGCTCCTGCCTAAATTCAGTCCACTGTTCCACCGGTTTGGTTAAATGGCCGCAGATTCCCCGGCGAACAGAATAGACGAAACGCCTCCGCGATACCGGACCCCGTGGCTCGAGCAATTAGAAAGTTCCACGCGATGAAAGGGTTCAATGGGCGATCGACCAAAAGGAGATCCTTAATCGCTGCTGGTATTTTGATATCGCCGAGACCATTCAACGGAGAAACTCTCTCGTGGTATTAATTATGAACGCTGATTATGAGATGTGAGGTGGAGGAATTTTCTTGCAGTTTCAGCAATTCTCTTGGTTCTACTGTAGAACTACTTCATTGAGATAACACTATTGTTAGAGAATTACGTTGAATTCTTCTGCCTAGATTTAGGTGTTTGAAAATTCGGAGGGCTTCGCTTCGTTTGAATTCGAGTTCGACGTGCTTGGTACCCAATTGTCGCGAGTCTTAATCATAATCTTGGGCGCAGAGTAAATTTTGCAGAGTAACGGAGAATTAATCCACTTCGAAAACCTTACAAATAACCATTAAAAAACGACAACCTCGGACAGTAAAAATTCGAAAGGCTTCAGTCGGTCGAAATTCAAACTCAAACTCTGCCCAGAAACAGAATCACCGAAACAGAAAACACTTACATCTTCGAAATCTACATTGTTGACACACTTTTGAAGCGACCAAACGGTTAAAAGACTAACGTCGACGCGATCGAATTCTCCGAAACTGCGAGAGCAAACACTTCGTACTGTTTAGTCGTAAAATAGAATAAACCTAAGGGAATCCTGTAGCCGGATTTACGGCTTCAGAAGTGGTTACGTCGCAGGCAAGTATTTTGTTTTCAACGGACAAAGGTGTCCCTTTTCGCGTTGCGCGCGACACTCGGTCACTAGGACTCGAGAGGCCATGGAGTCTCGAAGAGTTTGTGGGTGACGGGAGAATAAGCGTACTCGTGCTCGCGCTTGAAATCTTTTGACAGCCCAGACGAGACGTCTGATGTCGCTCGTGCGACTTTCGGCGGTTGAATCCCTTCGCGTCGTCGGTCGGGACCCTGGCTGCCCTCGGAACGGATCTCAAGTGTCTCCCCGCTTTCCGAGGATAGCCATCCTTTATCGGCCCGCCGCGACATCGACAGCGACGAAAGACACGTTTGTTGCGTGCGTCTCGCAGTCTCGATGGTGTTTGCAATGTGGCGCCGTGCGCGCTGCATGGGCCGCCACAAGTTCAAGGGACAAGTGGGCCTCGATATTTCGCGACTAAGCCCACTTTACGCGAGAAAGTCCCGACTTCGCGGGGACTCCACAGGATTCCCAAACATTCCTTCGGTCGTTGTGCATCCCTTCCCTAAAATAGCGCGTTTAGGGCGTATCGGGAAGGAGGTGTCGATGCATCGGAGAAAAACTGATCGGCGGAGAATCGTTTTGGAAATCACCAATCAGGGTGATTCGGCGAGGAACGCAGCCTTCGTGGAGGCGGACCACGTTCAAAATAGAGGGCCGCAAGGCACAGTACAAAATGTTGTATTCCGCGGCTCGCGATTCCTTGCGTTGGTTTATTATATTCAATAGGTACGCGGTAGGAGAGCCTGACGGAAACTGGGGCGAAATAAGGAAGCTGTTCTGCGCGTAGTACTATTCGACTTTATTAGACAGTTCGGTGACGTTCGGTGCGTGAAGACCACTAGACAAAAATCTGCTGTTTCGACGGAAAAGGTTTCTAGATATAGGTTCGGTAAGTACGAGAGTAGGGGTTGGTCTCAGAGGTCAATGTAGGGAGAGGCGGTGAGGTCTAGGTTCAGCGATGAGTAAAGGATGATGTGGAGGTCTAGGTTTCGGGGTGACTAACGTTAGGATGATGCGGATTTGTTTACAGTTAAGGAAAGGAGGCAGGATGACTAAAAACTAATAAAAGATAGGAGAGAGGTATACGACAAAATCTCTCTTCCTTCGTTTCAAAAATGAAATTTCTTTACGATTATTGTTATTATTATTATCGTCGTCGTCGTTGCAATGTTCTCAATTGAATTTGTCTGAGAAGCAAAGAAATTCACTTTGCGCTATTACATTATTGCATAATGGAAATCTGAATCTCTCTGCTTGTGTCGCTGAATTCAATTTATCAAAAAGGATTAGGTCGTAAATTAAACTCTCAAGAATCGGCACCGATTGATGTTGCGGCACTCAAGGCCCTGTGTTGCAGTCTGTTTGAGGGTTCCAACAATAAACGAATGGTAGCATATGATTTGGTACTTCAAGTAGAAAATGGTATTTCATTTACAAATGGAAAATATGTTAATATTAATTCTCTGTTTAATTTTTTTTTCTATATTTTAATAAACAATTTATTTTATTACTTTACCTATCATCGAACGTGTTTTTAAGCATACAGGATGGACAACGTAACTTGATCATTTAACACTAGAACTGCCGGCCGGGTCAAAATGACCCATTAGCAACTTTCCAAAACCAGTGAATGTTCGATACACAGCAAGTATTACCATTTGTAACTTCTCGACTTTGTTTTCTGCACGTATGCTTCTATTTGTGTTGTATTCCGCGGCTCGTGATTCCTTGCGTTGGTTTATTATATTCAATAGGTACGCGGTAGGAGAGCCTGACGGAAACTGGGGCGAAATAAGGATGCTGTTCTGCGCGTAGTACTATTCGACTTTATTCGACAGTTCGGTGACGTTCGGTGCGTGAAGACCACTAGACAAAAATCTGCTGTTTCGACGGAAAAGGTTTCTAGGTATATGTTCGGTAA